GACCCAGCCAGAAAACCCTGCAGGGACAACATGGTGGGAGAAGGGATATGGAATGCTCTTGCCTGGCCGGGGGGACCCCAGCCACAAGCCTCCTCCTCCTCCCGGCCGAAGCCAGCAGATGCTGCAGGATGGGGACGCGCTCCTGGCACTCACTGTGGTCACACCGAATGGGGACACGACCGAAAGCACCAAATCTCTGACGCACACACCCAAAACGAGCAGGGCAGGAGACACCAATAACCACCACCAGCACCTCCGCAAGCGTTCACACTGCTGCTGTGACCAAGTGAGCAACAAGGGGGGGACACAGGAACCCTACTGCCCCTCGCTCTTCAGGTGCGGAAACCCAAGCTACAACCCTCCCTCCCTCCCCCTCCATTTCATCATTCAGCCCAGGACAGGAGAAAATTAAACTGCAATGTAAGAGCAGGGAGGCCCATGCCACCGGGCGAGGGCTCGCAGTGCCTCGCTCCAGCATCCTGCTCCCTCCTCTACTCTCCTTCTTTGCTGGGGAGGGAAGAAAACCAGCTCTGTTCACCCAAACTTATGCAGCATTGAAGCTCAGAAAGCAACTTTGCACTCAAAGTGGTCCAAGCCCTTGCCATGCAAGCGGAGAGGGCTTTGCACATCCCGGCGCGGCTGCCTTGCACCCCTTCCCACCTCCCCGGCGCCGGCACGCAGGGCTCTGCGCATGCTCACAGCCAGAGGGATGTTTTTTTACCCCGGGCGAGCACGGCTGGGTATAGATGTGCTTCCCCACAAGGGTTATAGCGAGTGATCAAGTCCTCTTGGTCTCCCTTTCCTCCTTGACACGATGGTCAGGGCAGCAAGGATGGGGTAGAAATCAGAAACAAGGGGTTAAGGGCAAAGGAGATTTAGAAAGAGGGGGAGAAGACTGGGAAGACTGAATGGCAGCAAGAAAAAAAAGTCAAAGAGGGGGGGAAAAGGCATTTAAAGGAAAAAAAAAAACCTTTGCACAAGAGTTCCCAGGAGATGGGCAGAAAGGGGCTGGTGCTGCAAGGGCGAGCTGGGAGGAGGAGAGCAAAAGTGACAGCAGAGAGGAGGTGAAAGCAGTGGGAAGGGAAAGGGAAGGGAAAGGGAAGGGAAAGGGAAGGGAAAGGGAAGGGAAAGGGAAGGGAAAGGGAAGGGAAAGGGAAGGGAAAGGAGCCAGCAGGTGGGTGTGATGGGGGAGGCCCTGGAGATGCTTCTATTTACCCAGGAACAGACTAAACATCCCTGTATAGCTTCCAGCTATTCATTTTTCCATGTTCTGCCTCTTGTGGATTATTTTGCAAGCAGCTGTGGATGCAAGAGGGCTTTGCACCAGGGCTGCAGCTCGGCTGAGTCGGGCTCTTGCTAAAAAAAGAGCTGCAGAGAAAGGGGGGGGGAAAGAAAAAAAAAAAGAAGGAAATTCCACAGGAAGTTCAAATATTTTATTACTTCCTGTTTGTACAAAGTATGTCAACACTTGGCACCCGCTGCGCCATTTGTTTAGAGCTAAGGTGTCAACTTGAAAAAATGCCCTTTCTCTCTCCAGATCTAACCCAGAAAGAGCCTGAGCACAAGAAAAAAAAAAATATCTCGGAGCAAGCGGGGCGTGATGGCTTGCAGGGGATGCGCGGGGACCAGGGCCGGCCCCACAGGGGCGCCGCCCCCCCCCCCCCCCCCGCCGTTATCAGCCCCACGCACGCCCCGGCGCTGCTCCTTGCTTGGCTGTGGGTCCTTCAGACGAGCACGCTTGGGTGTCTTCAACACTGTGGTCCAGCCCTCCTGGTCCCCCCCCATCCAGGCTTCATCCCCCAGCCCCACGAGGGGCTCTGGCTCTCACCCGCTTCCCTGCAATTTCTCGTCCAACTCGACCCGATTTCAAACTCCTCAGAAGTTTTTCTGGGCGCAGCTTTAGTTAAAAGACTTGCTCAAGGGCTGAGATGAAGCGATGGGACAGGGGTGGAAGACGAACGGCATGCTCAGAGGTGGGGCATGGAGCCCCGCCGTGTTTCTGACCCCAAAACCCCACGAGAACGTTTGCTGGAGGAATTTCGCCGCATCTGAGAAGATGATGCCCAGGGCTTTCCCAGGATACCAAGACAAATGGCCAATTCTTTCAAGTGATAAACCACCCCCCCCCCCCCCCCCCCCCCCCCCCCCCCCCCCACACCCAGCCCCCGGCCCTGGCCACCGCTGATCCTGCACAAGAGGACCCACACCGTGTCCCGCTCATTTGCAACGCTGCGGCCAAGAAGGGGCTGCATATATTTTTATGCACACACATCTCCATACCCACATATATGTATTTACATAGATATATGTAAAAAAGTATATATAATATATATACAGGCGTTAAAACCGCAATGCCTGCTGGCAGCCTCTCACCTCCCAAAGCCAAGCAGGGAAGGGCAGCGCGAGCCATCGCGTTTGGCCAAAGGTGGTTATTACCGGGGCTTTACCGGCTTTGATAGCCGGCCGGTGAGCCTGGCGGGTGCCGGCACACCGAGGGGTGCTATGCCAGAGAGCCACCCAGTGGCAGGTTAACCGGGAAAACCACGTTGGGTTTCCACGTGTGAGCTCGGATCGTTTTGCAGCCGGTATTTCCACACCAAGGGTTTCTGCAGAGGACTGCAGGGAGGCAAGGGCAAAGGGCATCATTTAACTATTTTTTTTTTAATTTCAGGTTCATTAGAAAATACAAACCAAAGTGTGGCAAAGCAAAGGGTTTTTTTTAATTTTTTTCTTCCAGTGCAAGACTGGATTTTCATCAATCATGAATTTAAGCCCCAGGGTCAAACTGGGAGTCAAAGTATGACCTTTGCTGCCGACAAATCTACAATCATCTCAAAAAAAAAAAAAAAAGTCACAAGTTGGGTCTAAACTCCTTAGATCAGCAACTTAAGGGCTGTGGGGGTGCAGGGATGGGGGAGAGATTGACATTTGGGGTCCACACAAGGCAAGGGCATAAGCAGCGAATAAACACCACACAGACCTCCTTAGGGAGCCTACACCTCCGGCACAAACATTTTGAGGTCCACAAATCAGGGGGGGAAAAAAGAAGCAGAAAACTGCTGACCTTGCAGCCCGGGACGGCGTCCCAGGGAGGGCATCCCTCGGGCACACCAAGCCAGAGCCAGGGCAAGCCGCTCCATCCTTCGGTTTTGCCTAATTATGCCAAACGAAGGCACGGCCCCAACCCAAACAGCGCAGGGCGAGCATGCCCACGGCTCAGCCCCCCAGCTCCCCGCCTGGCTACGAAGCCTTCACCTCCGTATCAGAAAATTTAAATTAAAGATCGGGAGCGATCGGCCGAGATGTTGAAATTCAGGAGGAGCAGGTGTGATTCAGCGGGGGTTTGGTGAGCGCTGGCTATCGGTGAAGTCAGAGCAAACCAAACGCTAAGAGTAGTAACTATCTCGCCTTGTATTATTATTTATGTATTCCTGATTATTATTATTATTAGAAAGGCAATCTGATGCAGCAGATAAGGGCCTGAGCCAGGAGTCAGGAGACCTGGTTTCTATTCCTGACCTGGAAGAGTTGTGAAATTTCCTGCCCAACTCCTGCCTGCTTTCCCCTCCCAGCCCCGGGCTGAGCCCGTTCCCGGTGTCTGCAGCACCCACCGCGACCCACGTTTGCTCGCCGCCGCCGCCGCAGCCTCACAACAGGGACCTGCCTTGTGCTTCTGGCTTAAAAGAAAAAACCAACAGCGTTGCATCGCCTAGATGTCGGCTTTGCAAAGCCAGCCCGGCAGCTCGACCGGCTCCCGTAAAGCCTCTCGTGCTCCAAAATAAAAATCAAGGGGGAATAAAATCCAACAAACCCCGATGCAAATAAAACCCCCTCGCTGAGGTAACAGCTTCCACCTGGCCTGACATCAAGGGGCACCGATGGCCCAATGACAGCATCAACAGAAAATATTTTCTAAAGCATATTTAGAAGGATCAAACCGTTTCCCTTCAATTTGGGCACTGACAGCTTTGCATGCGAAGGGAACAAACTCTGCTTTATAGTCCCCGGTGTGGTGCTGAGCGAGCAGGAAGGCGAAGCCGGAGCAAAAAGCCGGAGACGGAGGCCCTGGGGACGAAGTCGCACCGCACAGGGGGTCCCACAGAGCAAATAATCCTCCTGGCAGAAGGAAACTCCTCCAGCCGACGGCACCGGAGCATTTCCCCGCACTCCTCGGATCACGGGAGATGCCAAAGTGAGCTCAAACCAGCCCGACGCCGAAAACCAACCCAGCAAGGGCGATTCGCAGCCGCCTTTGCAAAGAGCCACCCTCAACCAAGAGGCACTGTCCTGCATCCAGGAGAGCCTACTTGATCAAAACAGAAAGACATTTCTGCGGTTGAATCGTCTCTTTGGTTTTCTCAAGCAACGCAGCCCCCGGCCGCGGGCGCTGCCAGCCGGAGCCTTTGACAACCCGAAAGCGAAACCACCACTAACCAAAAGGGGAAGGTGCTCTCCGAGCTCTCCTGGGCCTGTGCGGACAGACAGGCAAATACAGGCACAGCGCGGAGGAAATCTGCAAACATTTTTAGTTTAATAATCAGCAAGTCAGCCTCCGAAGCTGGGCACAGCATCTCTGGCTTTGTAACCCCCCCAGAAACGCCCTACGCACTGCCAGATTTGCGTCCTTTGCATTTTTGCTGTCAAAGCCCAAAGCATTTTCCCTACATCCCAACCACCACGAGGACTGGAGCTATAAAACCATCCCTCCGCGGTGGGATACGGAACGCGGTGAGAGCGAGCAGCAGGCAGGGACACACGCTGCGCTCCGCCGTGCGGAGCAAATAAAAGCAGCCAAGCCGTGCCCGCCGCAGCGCGCGCTCTCGGGGCTCGCTCGGCCACGCCAACGCTCTCTCGTTAGCTCTGTGCGCTGCAAATGGTGCCTGCCCCGGCCGGCTTTGCCCCGCCGCAGAGGCATCCTGCATCCTTCAGCTACGGAGAGCTCGGCCCCCCGCCCCCGCCCCCCATTTCTCAGTGGCTGCCAAATAAAACACATCACTTACTTCGTGGCTCCCGGGGTCCGTCTACAGTCACTTTAATGGCTCGGTGATAGGTAGCGACTTGGGTGGGGTTGGTGAACACGGTGATCGTCAGGGTAAAGCTTTTTCCTAAGGGGGGGGGGGGGGGTGGGGGTGAAAAAAACAAGAAAAATGAG